TCATTTCTTATTTAAATTACTTTCCTTTATATCTCAAAAATTATTAACTAAATTAATTTATTATAGCCAACAGACCTATAATAAATTACTGATTAAATTATCTACAGCCAATTCACAAACAATCTAGTAATTTAATTCTTTTAAAATAAATATCCAGTAACAAAAACTAGCTAAATGACCTTGGCGCATAAACTTCTAAAGTAGACAATTGGCTAATATAAGATGACCGCTCGAGAAATTAATTTTAATTATTCCAGCCTCTTAATTAAATTACTAATCAATCCTGGCCTAAAATGATTCAAAATACCTGGAGACTCAATTATTGTTTTATCCAACGACGACTGGTATTCTGGTCCAACTTGGCTGGCTCAGCAGCTTGGCGTCTTGTCGTTTCAAATTACGATGCTGGCCTCCGGTCAGGGCTTGTCCAATTCCAAATAACATAATAAACTCCTCAGTAGTTGCTTTCTATTTTCGGCGTCCAAAACTGCACTATACTGATTCAAACTGGCCACTGGTCACTGATTTATAAAGGCAAAAGGCCACTGGCTTCCAGAAGGGAAAAAAACTCGATGTTTTTCGTGCTCGCTCTTTTATAACCCTCGAGCTCAGGCTCTCGAACTTGTCAATTGTTCCGCCCTGCTTCATTTTTCTGGGGCAGTAGTGGGGACTCTTTATTAGCACGCCCGGTGACAAGTCGAAACTCTTGTCAAAAATCGAAAGGTAAGGGAAAACCCTTACCTACCGTGCGTCAATTATTGGGGTCGATAATAACCCCGGGAAGTTCGATTTACCCTGTTACAATTTCATGTTGCTATTTTGAAAAAAATTTTACGTAGACGTCCGGATGTCACCCCATTTTGGATGTACCAACGATTACTCCCGAACAAATTGATATTTCAAGACCGGACCTCTTTTATTAGTTTAAAAATTCGATGAACTGGGTCCGTATTTCATATCAGTGGCCTAGTTTACGTATTTTTTTTAATTGAATTTTTACTAAAATTTACTACGATACAACCGTACAAAGCCAAACGAACTTTTTTTATTTGTCACGTGAAAACTATGGCGCCACTTGATCAAGCTAGATTTTTTAAGACTGCGTGCGCATATGACAAGAAAAAAAGGCGCCGATATTTAAAAAAAAAATAAAAAATACTTGGTAAGAAATTACTTAATTATAATTTTTTTTTTTTAATCAATTACACAATTAATTTTTTTTTTTAAAATGAATGAGCGTTATGAAGCGTGCACTTTTGGATTTTCCAAACTTTTGGTCATAGCAGGAGCTACGCCCATCGACCTATTAGCGTTCGAGAGAGCTAAACTTTATGACGCTAAAGATAGTGACAAAAACATGAAGGACGCAAGAACAAGGATAAAGGCGGAAACGCCGCAAGAGTGGCAGGACCGATGGACATCGGGAGAGACGGGCAGATGGACAGCGCGCTTGATCCCAAACATCAACGTCTGGCTTTTTCGAAAGCACGGAGACACGGACTTCTTTCTGACCCAGCTATTGACGGGACATAGGCAGTTCAACGCCTATCTTTTCAAAATGTATTTGCACAGCACGCCAACGTGCAAATACTGCCCAGACAAAATTAACAACGCCGAGCACACGTTTTTCGAGTGTGATCGGTAGAAGGATGACAGAATCAGCACCGAAGAAACAATGGGCACCACGCTCTTTCCTGAGAGCTTGGTAACTTGCATGATCAAAAAAGAAGAAAACTGGTCAGCTGTTGCAACCTACGCGCAACGCCTTTTAAAAGAAAAAATCGCAGAAAGGGATTAGAAACCAGTAGTAACAAGTAGTAGTTATCATGAGACACAACATGGACTGGATTAAAGTAATGCTAACGCGGTCCCGTTCCAGTCTTCCCTGTAACATCTATGGGGAAAGGAGAGAGGAGGACGTTTAGTCGGTATTGTTGCAAAATAATATTGACTTCTGAGTCCGACATATCCAGGCACCAACACCTAGTCCTGGCACCAACACCAAGTCCTGGCATACGTAAATGTATTTTACCTCCTCTATAAAAAAAATAAAATGAAAAACACACACACACACACACACACACACACACACACACACACACACACACACACACACACACACACACACACACACACACACACACACACACACACACCTATAAGTTAGAGCAGCTCAACCCTGAAGACATCCTAACTATCACGTTGGATAAGTTAATAGAGACAGGCAACCGTGTAGGGAATAATAAGGCGCCGGGATTGGACGGAATCCCTAATATTGCCCTGAAATCAATTTTTAGGGCAGCACCGACATTATTCCTGGACGTTTACGACACAGCAACGGCTAGTACTAGTTCCGAAAGGGAAAAACCGCCGGAAGAACCGTCATCCTACCGACCACTCTGCATGTTAGACACGGTCGGCAAGATATTCGTCCGCATAATTCATCAGAGAATAGAGGCTGTAGTCGATCCACTCCTGGCAGAGAACCAATTTGGTTTCCGAAGAGGACGGTCAACCCTGGATGCGATCAAATTAGTTGTTGATATAGCCAAGGATGCAATTGCCGGAACGAGATGGAAAGGTGGAAAGAAGAAATACTGCTTGGTGGCTGCTTTGGACATCAAGACTGCCTTTAACTCCACTAACTGGGACTGCGTTATGCGGGCTCTCGAAGAAAAAAACGTACCAAGATACCTTCGCAGAGTTGTAGCGAGCTACTTCACGAATAGGGTCCTGAAATATGACACTAAGAACAGTCCGGAAGTGTACGAAATCACCGAAGGAGTGCCACAGGGATCAGTCTTAGGTCCTCTGCTATGGAACATCATGTATGATGGCCTCCTGAGAATAGCATTGCCTACGGGAGTCAAACTAGTAGCATATGCAGATTACGTAGCTGTCGTGATCGTCGCAAAGCACCTCGAAGAGATAGAAATGGCATTTGATATTACATTCAGACGAGTCAATTTGTGGATGGACATGGTGAACTTGCAACTAGCCAAGCATAAAACCGAGGCAGTGCTCATGACCAGTAGAAAAACGATAAAAATCATCAAGTTGAGAGTCGGAGAACAAGAAATCACATCACAACCATTTATCCGTTATCTGGGAGTGATGCTGAATGCCCGACTCAACTTCAAGCAGCAGGTGGAACACGTCAGTGCCAAAGCGTCAGTGGTGAGGGCTAGTCTCGTACGACAGATGCCTGACATCAGAGGCCCAGTGCATAGCAGGAGGCTACTATTGTCGTCAGTAGTCACATCAGTGCTCACTTACGGAATATCCATTTGGGCTGATGCACTGGAAACTTAAGAATCATAAAGAAAAGCTGGACCAGTATATTTACTGAGTGCCCTACGAGTAGCTAGCGCCTTCCGCACAATATCAGAAGAAGCAGTGTGCGTCATTGCCGGAATCCTACCTCTTAGAGTTTGTAACACGGTAAAACCGATCACGCGTTGGTAATAACTCGACGCAGCACTGGCGCGTCTCGGTCTTCGGGACTCATTAGTATTAAGTAGGGGTAAGTCTGAGGTTTCTTGGCTATTACGACCATGGGCCTGACACAAGTAACATGTAATTAGCTATAGCAATAAATAAGACTGTTAATAGTAAATGGTGCTCTCTTATAAAACCTGACTCATAAACATTAAATTGGCGACGAGGATAAAACAAGTGTTAAGTGTTTTAGATAATTTTGAGGCGTGCTAATAAAAGTGAGATAGCAAAATGGGTAATGAGCAATTTATGTTAGAGGAGCAAAAGAGACAAATAGCGAACGAGAGGTCGGTGTTAGAGAAAGAGCGCCAAAAGATAATGGCGGAAAATCAGAAATTGGTAGAATAGGAAAATCGGCTTAAGGATGAAGAAAGATTGATAAATCGTAACTCAGTGAAGGTGCAAGAATTACAAAGTGAATTAAATAAGGTACTGGCATCGGCAAAAAGTAATGGACAGGTTGGAATCGCAACTGGGAGTATCGGCAGTATTAATGAGTTCTAAAATGGAGAGGAGGATTGGAATGTGTGGATAGAAAGATTCAACCATTATGTGACAGCAAACGGCATTGTGGACGAGAGAAAGAAGGCGACGCTACTATCGATGATCGGAACGAGTACATATGCATTGTTGAGAGACCTATGTAGCCCAAGGAGACTAGCAGAGTTGTCATATAACGAACTATTGCTAGTGCTGAAAGAACACTTCCAGCCTGAGCGCAACAAAATCTCCGAACGGTACAAATTCAAGGGATGCAAACAAACAGACGCCGAGGATATCTGGCAGTTCGTAGCTAAGTTAAAGAAAGCATCGGTCAATTGCAGCTTCGGGGCGACATTGGAAGACTGTCTGAGGGATCAATTTGTGTTTGGACTGTACAGTACGACCATGAGGAAGAGGATCCTGCTAGAAGCAAATTGTACGTTTGCAAAGGCGAAAGAAATTGCATTATCGTTAGAAGTATCGGCCAAGGACGTTTTACTGATGACAAATTGAGGGACTCAGAGTATCAAAAGTGTGAATTTAGTCAAGAATGTATTTAGAAACAACGATAAGCCACAAATTCCAGGAAACAATGTCGGCAGTACATGCTTCTGTTGTGGTAAACTTAATCACATCGCCAAAAACTGTAGATTTAGAAACTACACGTGTAACAAATGCAAGAGGCGTGGTCACATGAGTGTTATGTTTAAAGTGAGAAGCAGAGACAACAATAACGATAATCCGATTAGCCCGGATTAGAATTATAGAAAGTGCTCCCAGACGACTAGACATAATTATGTCGAAGGTTATGATGACGTGGCGCACGCCACAAGTATGAAAATGTATGACGATGACCTTGAAGGTCTATTTTATTGTAAAGATGATCAGGAAAATAACAGTAAACCGTCTAGCGGGCAGATGAAGAAAAGTAGTGATGAAGATGTCTGGAAAGTGGCGCTGTTGAGAATGTTTCGTCAATTGAGCCATTCACAATAATTTTGAAGGTCCAGAAAACGGACATGTTGTTTGAAATCGACACTGGGGCATCTATTTCAGCGATATCAAAGGAAAAGCTTGACCAAATTGGTCAATTAAAGTATCTACTATTGATAAAAACTCCGAGGAAGTTTCAATCGTACCAAGGAAGTGTCATGACTCCACTAGGAGTTCTCAAGGTTGACGCAAAGCATCGACATCACAGTGAACGACTGGATTTATATGTCTTTGGTGGTCGAAACAAGCCAATTATTGGCAGAGACTGGATCAAAACATTCGATTTGATAGCTGTTAATATGAAGCCGAGAGAAAGCATTTATTTTATCAGCAGCAGAGAAAAATACGTCAGGAAGCTGTTAAATGCGTGACAGCAACTCCTGTTGGACGAGGAATCTCAGAATATAGCGGCTATAATGACGCACAAGGGGCTAATCGCAGGTCAAAGACTGTTTTTTGGAGCTAAACAGGGTCCAGAGATGTTTCAGGAAGAAATGGTGTCAACACTAGAAGGAAGTCCAAGTGTTAAGGTTTTCTTCGACGAGGTACTTGAACACGCCGAATCAAGAAGACAGCACGACGAGCGCTTACACGCAGTATTACAAAGATTCAGAGAACGTGGATCAACATTCAGGCCTGAGAAGTGTGAGCTATGGGTTGAAGGAGTCAAGTCCCTTGGATTCGTGTCTAGTAAAAAGGCTATCAAGATAGATCCCAACCGGGTAACAGCATTGAAAGAGACGAAAGCGCCAAAAGATGTACCTGAATTACGTGAGAAGAAGGGCGTTCCTGTAAGGTCAGTGAGGAGTTTACAGAATTGGGCAGTGCTAGCATGGGCATATGACTTCAAAATTGAACATATCAGTGGGAAAGACAATTTGGTTGCGGATTTTCTATCGAGATTACCAGACCGGACTCAACAGAATAGGGCAATCGACGATGTTGAAGATGTATGACCAAGATTTTGGGAGAAGGGACTGAGGCAGAGAGAGAGGACCGTTGGATAGGAAAGGGACAGCTGAGGAAGGGGGAAAAGGGACTGAGGCAAGAAGGGAAGTGACCGTGGCTACCTACTCTTTTACTTTTATTTTGCCTGATACCGTGCCTGGTCGATTTTCGCCGGAATTTATTTATTTAACGGTTTAAATAATTCTTTTTTGCACTTTAATTGTTCCTAACGTGTTCAGTATTACTACTACTATTATTTATTATTATTATTATTATCATTATTAAAATTTATTTAATCTGAGTATTAATTAATTTAGAAATTATTTGCGTATTATTTTCCAAAGAATTATAATTTATTATTTGTTTATTAATATTGAATATTACACCGGGACACAAAAAAAATTAAGTAGAATGTGCATTTGACCGGACCTACCTACGGGTACGTGTTTTGGTCCGCTGAATCCGAATTCGAGGTCAGTTTGACCCCTACACCCTCGAAATTTCGAGCAAACTTCGAAAAACCGTAAAAATGATGAAAGTCGGCAGTTTTAATGATAAAAATATTTTTTGGAACTAAAATAAGCGTGATTTTCATGTATTCGATCCGCTGAATATGAATCGAAACTTTATTGAGACCTCGAGCCGTTTTAAATGTAAAAAAATCACACAAACCATCCAAAATTCCGAAAACAGTAATTTTTTCGGGTTTTTTACTCTCGTTTATGACTTTTGAAGACTTAATTGCTTATGCCTGGAACCAGGGCACCTCCACGTGGTGACGGTGGGCAACAGAACCATCTGGCAGAGTCCCTGGGTTAACAGCGTGTGTGCCGTCATGGCAGTTACAAGTGATAAGTACTTTACGATGCAGGGAGTCGGAGCCCCAGTATCGGCGTCTGGTCAGGGTGAGAAAGCAGGCTCGCAGGCGTCGTCATCGAGCGATTGCAGCTCTTCAGAAGTGGGAAACTTGGCTACTGGAGAGTATACTATTACAAGAAATAATTCTCATCTGTGTAATAAAAGTCCTGATTCATTTTGTTACATTTGTGGAGAATTCAATTTGGAAAGGAATCGAAGATCGTTATCTGATACGATCAAACAAATTTATGAAGAATGTTTTGGTCTCCAAATTACTAATTTGGATTCAGCATGGGTTCCACATTCGATTTGTAGTCGATGTAACATGATGTTAACCCGGTGGGAAAAAAAAGAAACAGGACAACTTGAAATTCACAATACCAATGATATGGTCTTCACCAAATGGTTTACAGAATTGTTATTTCTGTATGACAGATACTACCGGGTTCACCTGGAATACAAAAAAAAATTGTATACGCCAATGTTTCATCAGCTATTAAGCCACAAAAAATAGAAGTTGGCAAAGAAATTAATACGGTTGAAGAAATGGATGTAGAAGAAGACGATACGCTAGTTGAAGAAAGTTCGAAAGAAGAATATTCAGATGATGAAGAGTACTTACCTGGCGGAAAAACAAAAGACCCTGAAACGTTTAACCGAAAAGAACTTAATGATCTGGTTCGAGACTTGGCTTTACCGAAAGATGGAGCTGAATAACTTGCGTCAAGGTTGAAAGAAAAACATTTGTTGGCTAAAAGTGTATCAGTGACATTCTATCGAAATAGGGAAAAAAAAATCCGGAAATTTTTAATAAACGGCGATCAAAATTCGGTGGTATACTGTTCAGATGTTAAAGCTTTAGTTGATGAATTGAAACCGAACACGTATAACGACGATGAGTGGAGACTTTTTATCGATTCGTCGAAACGAAGTCTTAAAGCTGTTTTGCATTATATCAGGAATGAATTTGCGCCGATTTCAATAGCTCATTCGACAAAACTGAAAGAAACTTATAAAAATTTACAGATTGTATTGGGAAAAATAAAATATTCAGAGCATAACTGGAAAATTTGTGGAGATCTCAAAATTGCAACTCTTCTTTTAGGTCAGCAATCGGAATTCACCAAATATCCTTGCTATTTATGTTTGTATGATAGCAGAGACCGGAAAAATCGCTATGTCAAAAAAGAATGGCCATCAAGATCTGCATTGAATCCAGGTTCCCATAACGTTATACGACCACCCTTGATTCAGCCTTCCAAATATTTGCTGCCACCACTACATATCAAGTTGGGACTCAAACAATTACATTTGGGACTAAAACATTACGTGAAAGCTCTGAATAAAGATGGTGATTGTTTCGCGTACTTGAGAGGAAAGTTCCCTGCAATAAGTGATGCGAAATTGAAAGAGGGAATTTTTGATGGACTCCAAATACGATCTTTATTTCAGGATGCAAATTTTGAAGGAACAATGAACGACACAGAAAAAGCAGCTTGGGTAAGCTTCAAAAATGTTTCACAAAACTTTTTGGCAAATAATAGAAGTAAGGATTACAGCACTTTAGTTGACGCATTGCTGGAAAACTACAAAAATTTGGGTTGTTTAATGAATCTCAAATTACACTTTTTAGATTCTCATCTTGACCACTTCCCTGACAATTGTGGAGACTATAGTGAAGAACAGGGAGAACGTTTTTACCAAGACATCAGTGAAATGGAGAGTAGATACCAAGGAAATTGGAGTATTAACATGATGGCAGATTTTTGTTGGATGTTAAAAAGAGAAGTACCCGAAGAAAATCGTAAACGAAAGAGGAATCCACTACGAAGATCATTTGAAGATAAAAGAGAGCGATACAAACGAAGGAAAGTTTAGGATTCGTAAAAATCATTTCTTTCTATCTTTTTATGTCTTGTGTTTTTCACAGATTTCAAGTTATTTAATATATCTACGTTATAGAGTATTTATTTTAGGCATTAAATAATGTTCAATCAATTTTTAACTTTCCGCTAAGAAAATCGAAGATTTTCAAAAATCAGGAAGTTATTGTTTTCACCCCGTTTTGCAAAAATCGAGTTTACATTAGATCTCGACGTTTGATGGTCACAGAAAGCTTCCCTGACTATCCCCGCGAGGTTGTCACTATGTCTGTATGTATGTGTGTGTGTGTGTGTGTGTGTGTGTGTGTGTGTGTGTGTGTGTGTTTTTTTTTTTTTTTTCGTTTTTTTTTCTTTTTACGGATTCTAGGCATAGATGTTGGCCCGGATATGTGGCGACTCGACGCAGAGTCATACTAAAACTTGACGCTGACGCCCCTACCCACTAAACCCTAAACCCCTTTCCTCTTTCCTCTAATCCCTCATGGAAACCGCCGTCAGGCATTACTTCGTGAGGGGAGGATCTAGCTACTGCTCTTCCTTCTGATGGCTAAGGTGTTAACTACCTTCCTATATGTATGAGTCCATATATGATCAGATCTGATCATATATAAGTCTATATATAATTAGATCTGATCATA